ACTTAAAATGATCAATAAAAATGTTAAATGAAAGTTGATTCAATAGCTCATGTATATCAAGTAGGGTTGAAACCAATTTTTATTAAGCAAAAATACTATAGAACATGTGTGTGATACTTAAATAAAGTTTGAAGTACAAACTTTATAGATGGCAGTGAAATACTTGCTGTTGAAAAATGATATTACTAACTAATATTTCTACTAGCCTAGAAATTGAAAATTGAAATCAAGTTCAGCTCAAAAACTTAAAAAATTTCCAAGTTTGTCAACTGCTAGACATTGCTATGTTTAGCAAATTATTTTGAGAGATTGGGTTAAGGGGTGGTATAGTGTTATAATTCGATTTGGTAGTCTCATATGCCATCTTAAGTATGGTGAAGATGGTTAAGGTTCAGAAGCAACCGTTTAGTTTTTATATGCGCTTTAAAATTTATGCACGATATGGTTTCGGGCTAGTTGGCCGCGTGGGCACGGTCACCATGCTCGGGCGTTCAACGTCGCCATGCTGGCTGTCCCGCGTGCACGCGCGCTGCCGTGCGTGGACGGCCACGGCTGCTCGGGCCTGGCTGTGGCCTGTCTGCCACTGGCTCCTAGTGCGGGGAGCCACCGCCGCTGCTTGCGCAGCCGGGTGGTGCTGCCGCTGGCCCCACCGCGCTGCCGCACTACGACTCACCCCACGCCATGCCGCAGCTGCTACCGGTGCCGTCGCCTCGCTGTCATGTCCGTACCTCACTCTGCATCTCTACACCACTGCTGGCCTAGTGCGATGCTGCCTCTGCCGTGCGCACGTGGTCGGGCTCAACGTCGCCTTGTCATTAATGGCACTACGGCGCGCGGGCCACGCCCGTCGCAAATGCGCGTGCCTGTTTGCTAGCGCCCGCGCGCTGGCTTCCACAATCATGTCGACCGCATCTCGCCATGGAGAGGCTGAGCCAAGCCCACCTGCCGCTCCCCGTCTCTCTCTCTCTTTCTCCCTCCGCTGCCGTCGTCGAGCCACGCCATCAAATTACCTAGCGAGTGATCACCTCCATTTAATTCATCGCATCCACGGCTTCACCATCATGTTCTCCCGCTGCTCGACCCCACCTAGCCTTGAAGCGCGCACGACCAAGCTCCAATTTTGGAGTTTCTCCGCCGCCGTGCCGATAAGGCCGTGTCTGGTCATGGATGTTGGCAGCCCTCCTACCATCCCTCTCGAATCAATTCACCTGCACCACTAGCTTCGCCTTGCCTCCCTCTCCACCTTGCGCACATCAGCGGAACCGCTACCGCCTCTCTGTCGTCGCTAACACGACCGTGCCACCGCGGTGCGCCACCACATGGCTCGGCCACACATGGCCAGCCCTCCTCTGCCATCCTCCACCCAACCGTCACCTTGGCTAGGTCCACGGTAGTCTATTGAAGCTCTCTCGCTAGCTAGTTAGGTTCTTAGGTGCTCTAGATCGTCGGGGCAGTTACGCAGCCGTCGTGGACGGTCGCGCGTCGCTGCAGCTCGCTCCAGCGCGTCTCGCCACCCCTCGCCGCCGCTTAGTGTTGTCACCAAGATCGGAGATGGTGATCGACCCATTAGGTGGGCCCGCGTAGGTCCCTGGTGGCCGGCGTAGGCACTCAGTGCCGCCGCTCGCCGCACCGCCGTGGACTGAGTTGCCGGGGGTGCGCGCGGGGGAATTCCAGGGAAGCCAGGGGGTTTAGTGAGAAGGTTTGAGAGAGGGAGAAATAGCGTTAGGACTTAGTTATAATTCAGGAGAAGTGCGAAGTCTATTTTGCAAAAACACCAGCGCGCGCGGGATTTCCCCCCGCCGCAGGCTGTTCACGTGCGGGCCGACCTTGGGTGGGCCACGCCTATGGGCCGCTACGCGCGCGCTATGTCTCGCGGGCCACGTGGGAGGTTTCATTTTTCTTTTCCTAAGGAATTAGAAATAGTTTTCTAATTTAATTTTTGAGTCGATCTTTGATAAATCATATAAAAATCATGAAGGTGTCCAAAAATTATGAAACAAATTTTGTTAGGTTCCTAAAATTGTGCTCTATCTGTTAGTGTATTTAGTTCATATACATACATGTTGATACCAGTAGCTATTAAATCATTTGAGAGTGCTCAATATTATTAAGTTAATTATTGTAGGAATTTTTGTGGTAAATTGGTGATAGATTTAGTCATGAAAATTTTACAGTAGCTTCATGGTATTATTATGTGCTTACTGTGATTTTTGTATCTTTAGAATAGATTAAACATTAGGATAGTTAAATGCTCTTTGTTTTAATATACATTAAATTATTAGTAGAAATAAAGATATATCCTTAATTTGCCAAGCTAGGGGGTTGTTAGTTAAATCCAACACCTTGCTTGATGAAGATGATAGTTAGCTTAGTACCTTAGTCATTAGAGTCAGCTTAGTAGCTTAGTATGCGTATTCTTATTTTAAGAGTTGCTGTTGCATAAATGCTAAGTATTGCATCATCATCGCATGTATATAGAAAACCAGTTGGTGGAGATCGTGACCACTGGCGATCACAAGTTCAAGGAGATCGTCGAGGAGTACGAGGAGAAGATTCTCATACAGGAGAAGGTCCTAGAGCCACCACTGACTGACTCAGCTAACACCGCGCCTGCCCAAGGCAAGCCCCGGTGTATAACCTTTATTTTTTATAATCAATGAATATATATGTGATGTGCATTTACGTTACAGGAATTTTATGAAACCACATGCATAGATATAACTATCCTATGAGTTCTACTCGTACAGGTTCGAGTAGCTGCTATGCTTAGGTTTTCGGTAGCGTGAGTAACCTGTCGTTACTCACAATAGGTGATTATTATAATTACTCTCATGATAAAATGATGAAAGAAAAAATGGAGACATGGTAAGGATATGGTATGGGTATTGGTGGGTGTAACAGGTTGTGTCCTATGGCTAACAGGGCTTAGCTTGGTTACACTGTTTTCCCTGTTCGTGTTGATTAAGGACCATCCGTTGATGTGGATGGTAGTCAGGTTATAGACTTATTATCCTGAGCACATACTTGCTTATGGGAGCGGGAAGGCTCGTTACACTCTTGTTGTGGGTTCCGGCTCTTTTCGAACTGACTGATTGGAGGCAGGCAAAGGTGAAGGTCTAAGCACCATATTAAGACCGGGTCTCAAGTGTGGGGGCTTGGAGTCCAAGTTTGGATGGGGACCTAGACCCCATGACAAGAGTGGAATGGGTTGGTCTTTGTTTGTGCCTAGGGCATAAACGGGGCATCTGTTTTGGGGTGCCCAGCTAGGATATATTGGTTCATGAATCGCCATTTCCGTGAGATAGTACGACTTGGCTATGGTCTAGCACCGTAGTAAGAACTGAAAGATGAAAGATGGTGAAATGGTTCTAATGGCTCAACCCTTGCTTGAAAGTAGAGCATGTGCTTACACTATAACACAACATACCTTTGCCGACACTTTTTATAGTGGACAAAGGGTACCTTTCTTAACAGATAACCTCTCGCGAAAGGTTTTGCCGACAATTTAGAAACAGTCGCGCTAGAAGCCGTCGACAAAACTTTCACTGACAGTTAAAGGAATCGTCGACACTTTTTGTGTTGCCAAATGGTGGACCTACACCGACAGTTGAAACCTTTGCCGACAGTTAAGCCTTTCCCGACAATTAAGACCTACGCCGACAGTTTGAACATTTCCCGACAATTTGTGTGTTGGTGAAACCATTTTCAAGATATTTTGTGAATCATGCCCTGTCCAACAACTAAACTATCGGCAAAACTATACTACAGATATAGATATAAATATAATTTGAATAATTTGACAAATCCACTGTTATTCATATAGAAGGAAAATCTCAATTCTTAGGAGCTAGATAGAGTTGATTCATTTTTAGAAAACAGTGTTCTCATCAGGTCTGCAAAACATGACATAGGCGTTCTGAACTTGAGATGACTAACAAAAAAGCCAGAGTAATATTTAATAGGCCACACATTTCCGTGGAGGACCATCCATGAGAATGCTCTAAGCTGTAGCGCCCTTGCCCTTCTTGTGCTGAAGCTTCTTCATGTAGAACTCAAGCTCTTTACCCTCAAGGATGTACCTATTATACAAAAAAGAAAAGTGTATTGTAAGGAGCTGCCTGCAATATAAGATATAAGTGAAAATAAGGGGACAACTTCCATTCTACTTGAAGCCTAGAAGGATAAATTTGTGACAGCTGCCAACATATCTAAAATGTCTAGACTCACAGTGATTGTAACATAAAGAGTATAAACAAACATTAAGCTTTAAGCTACAAAAGTTAAATGGTACACAAACAGATAAGTTGCTCTAACAAAAACAAAGAAAGTCTGGTGGAAGTCCATTATTTCTTACCCATCAGCTCGGCCACACTGTCTAGGGCGAGAAGAAATGCACGCTAGCAAGCTTCCACTGCCAAATTGCTCTTTAATGTGAGCGTCAAACTCACGTCCCTTCTAATGCTCCTCAAGCTTCCTCTTGACATAGTTGCTCTTCTTTGTTTCCTCAGCTGCTGCCTCACCCACTTGTCCCTAGATGAATGAATCTCAAACAATAAGTGATCCACTAGAGGAAACATAACAGACACTAAAGATAGAAAACTAATTAACTATAGATCTCTGCTTTATGGAAATACTTCAAGCAAAATATATTAATAAAAACAATCAAATTTAACATTTTCCATACAGAAATCTAAAACTCATAGTGCAAAAACATGCAATTCAAATGTGAAACGTGGATAAGAAAAGAAGAGTTCTCTAAGAATCTGCAAGGCACAGGAGTAGACAATATAAACATACAAGAATGAGGTGAGTCAGTTGTCTTTAAAAGAGTGAACAGAAAGAGCTGATATTTGCTAGCTACAAAACATGATGTATGAACTATGAAGCCAATCCCATATTAAAAACATTTAATAGTAAATAGTGAGACGCTGTGTTGCAAGAAATAATACCTCAGCAGATTCCTTCTTTGTAGCAGAGCCTTTTTTTTCTTCCTACCGATGTCAACTCCATAGTGAGTGAGGTACCACTACTTGAATGGGGCAAGCATCAACTTGCACAATGGCACTCTTCACTAGGGTTTGAGTCCTCACAAGCTCATTGTTTGATGCATTGTAGACCACGTCGAGGATACGGGTCTTGCGGGTAACAACTTCACTTCCCCATGAATAGTTACCAGTATCTAGGCGAAGAGCCCTCCACTTCACATTACCTCCACGAACACGAACCCTCCTCACTGTCTTGTTGCTTGACAACTTGGTGTTGGTCATTTGGCGCCCAAGCTCATACCTTCAAGAGAATCGACAAACATAATAAATCTCGAACAAAGTCCTCACATATACCTTCTAGAGAATTGACAAACATAATAAATCTCGAACAAAGTCCTCACATAGTATTGCGCAGACACGATGAAGCCACATCAATAAACAACAATTTTAAGCTAATACTTCAAAATAAGTTGATGACACCAATTCAATTTACCAAAATTTGCACATCTGATCTACAATTACGGTGTTGCCTCAAACACAAGTACAAACATGTTGCAATACAAATACATATCTATGATTATATACATAATTAAGATGAAAGTGCCTATTCGAAACATGGTTACAAATATGATAATTTCGACCACATATCCCTTAACAATTCCGAGAAGCTCGGTTGGTCACCTTTGAGAAAATTGAAAAATAGACACTGAATCAACAAATAAAATTACTTATACACTGTCAAGGCTAACATTTCATTGTAATCATCATGGTAAACGATTTAATAGACACAGATAATTTTTAGACAATAATCCAACCAAGTAACCACATAGTTAAGCGGTGTCATCTAAAAGCGCAAAAGATCACTGGAGGTCACCTAATGACGTCGAGAGAAAAAACATTCCTCGATAAAACTCAGATCAATTATACTGCCGTAACCACTTCAAGATCAAAGTTAACTATGCTAGTTTAGCTGCAGAGAGAACATTCAGGGCACAAAAGTGATGCAGATATAGATATAAATACAATTTGAATAATTTGAATAATTGCAGAGAGAACATTCAGAGCACAAAAGTGATGCAGTAGCAGTGGTTTTATTCTTGCTGCACTAATTTCGCCGAGGGTTCAGCTGCTATCATTTTCCTAAAGTCTAGGAGTTCATAACATGTCAGACATTTGTACTTTCCTGTAACTATTTGGAAATTTCTCTCCGTGACAATGAAAAGATCATGGTTACCATTGACATATAACCTCTCAAGGGCTTCAAAAGTTGAGATCATGGTTACCATAGACATTCCACTTGAACTGAAAGCTGAGATGAAAATTGAATACCTTTGGTCGTATAAATGTTGGAAGATTATGTCGTTTCTTTTGCTTAAGAAGCTTTTCACATAGCTTTTCATGTCTACCAGTTTCTTTGACCCACTGCAGTACAAGGGAAACAATTGTATGCTACTTAGGCCATGTCTGGATAGTACTTTCAGAAATAATGCTGATAAAAAGAGCACCCTTCCACGCTGAAAAAAGCTTGGTACTGCGTTTTCCTGCTATGAAATGAACTCACAAGAACCATCAAAACGTAGCAATAGTCATGCAGATAGATGCTCTATTTCATTATGGAAAGTACTACAAAAGTGCTAAGTGGTGCTACCATGGGAGAAGTTGTGATTATGAAATGGCAACTCCATTTCATTTAATTGATATGACATCTGGACATTTTATAAAATGAAAACTGGTAAAGTTCTTTTGAACTCAATATTGCTTGTAGTGACCGAAATATTATGATCATTGGCATAGGTAAGCTACAGCAAGTTTATCGTACATGTTTTGGTTAAATTTGATGCTTCACTACAATTATGTGTTTGCAATGGCATGCCTGCATAGCTAAACTAACCTGCTGACTCTATACATTGTCCATTTTAAAATTTTAATTGCACAAATCTTCCGATATCAAAATTGATTCAACAAACAAAAATCTAGCCTTTGCTAAACTACTATTTCTTCAAATGACTTGAGGAGCTACAAGCTAGATTAGAGTTCTAGTTCCAATATCACCAAACAATAATCTAGAATCTATAACCAATTTCTAGGTGGTTTGGAAGCCCTAAAAATTCAGCTCGCATGGCAGATATAATGAATTTCCATTAAGTTTCCTACCAACTAGAATGATCTTGGAACGTTTTAGCACGGTTGTGTCCTCGATACATGAACATCAGAACTCAAAATATATGAACCTATTGACCTATGAAAAGAAAGGCACGTTTTATTACCAGTGTCAAATAAGCCTCAGCCAATTTCTACCCTGGAATCACGTTTACTGAGAACAGAAGGGGAAAAAATTAGATCAGGGATAGCCTCACCGTTGCTTGGCATGGAAGACCCTCTTCTTGGTCCCGCGTTGGCTATGGCTGCCTACTGCGTGAGACTGACACAGCCACTGCATCATCCTCAAGGTGCGACATGGGTGGACGAGTGACTCCACCGCTGGCCCCTCTCCACTCCACTGCCTCGCCACCGTCGGCGCCGCCCCCTGACCTAGGGGGGTCAGATCTAGCCACCAGAGCACTAGATCCGCCCAGCCCAGGCCCTGGAGTAGCCCAGGTTGGCCCCGTTGGCGCCGCCATGCGAGGAGGAAAAGGGACGATGGAGGGGAAGAAGTGGAAGAGAAGCCCGCTGCTGTCACCACCACCCTGTGCTTGCCAAGGTCTCTAGCTGGCGCCATCGCAGTCACAGCCAGGTGGCCTCGTCGAGCCCCACGTGGCTCGGGCGAGGCGACGCCTGCCGACCCACGTCATCCTGTGCCCCCACTCCACCAGACGAGAGGAGGGTCCCACCGCCGCCATCCCGGGTGGCCTGCTCCGCCGGTGGCGTAGTGGGAGAGGGGAGGGAAGGGGAGGGGGCACGACGGCTAGGGTTGGTGGCGCGCCATTGGCTGCGGCGTCCGATGGACTCAGCCACACGAGGCGGCGACGGCGAGGGAGGCGCTCCCAGACCTGGTGCAGGTTGCTGCACAGGCGAGAACCACACGGTGGGTGCCCCCAGTCACCATCCCCAACGGCGAAAGGTAGGGGCAGCAGCGTGGGTTGACGGACATGGGGGCGGCGGACGATTGGGGGCAATGAGCGTGGGGACCTTTTTGTGTGTGTATAGGCCGTGTCGGTGGGATGTTTTCTGTGCATGTGCGGGAAATGACATTCACCCTGGGTACTCCTTCGCCGACACTTGTACCATGGTTTCGTTTAGGCAACACCGACACTTAAATAGTCTAGAAATTTTCACCGATAGTTTTTCAGCCAGCAGAAAACGCCGACAGATTACGTGTGGTCCTATAACCTTATTGCCGACACATAATTTGATGTTAAAAAGTTACACATTTGCCAACACATAATATGTAGTTGAAACCCACCTTTCGCCAACACATAATTGTAGGCAAATGTGTGTAATGGTGTAGTGTTACCTAGAATGGTTAGCTAATGAAGTAATCATGACTGCTAATAAAACTTGATTGTAAGGATGTACTATTAGTAACGCTTTTCGCAAACAAAAGAAAACAACAAACCCATATTGTCTATCATACTCCTTGGAGTTAGGAAACTATTCCCACTAGTCGGGTAAGTCTTGTGAGTACATTGTGTACTCAGGGTTTATTTTACCCCTGTTGCAGGTGCAGCTTGAAGAGTAGCTCTTGTGTGGAGGATTCTTCTGGTGGGCACAGACGGATCCTTGTATCGATTCCGCTAGATGTTTATTTTCATTCTGCTGCTTAATTATCGCACTCCAAACTCTAATATTGTAATAATGATTTCCAAGAACTCTGGTTGTATGAAATGGACTAAGTATTGTAAGCTCGATCTCATTATTGGATTCTGGATGTAAAACGTGGATTGTTTCGAGTTCTCCCTTGGGGTGTGCTCGACGGAACTGTTCGATATAGCTCCCTTTCGAGGTGCTTAGTGTCTAGTGGAAGATGAGTGCCTCTAGAAGCATGTTATTTCAGGTGGTTCTGCCATAGGTGGTATCAGAGCCGAATAATGAGTCTACGAGTTTAAAAACTATTTTCAAAACCTAAAATTTGACCAACAAAAGCTTTGCAAAAAGTAAGATGCGATAAATTATGTAAATAATTATAAGCCCTAGTAATATAGTCTATCTAGGATAGTGGCACTAGTTTTATCTAATCAATCTTCTGTAGGTACACTAACTTACGCTGCATCAGAATCATTTAGCATATGGGAAGTTGTAACACCTCGGGTGTTTTAAATACTAAAACCTGTCATGTCATCATATGCATTGTACCTCATTTCATGTTAGTGAAAACTTTGATATGCATACATTAAAACAAGTTTACAATTGTGTTATATGTGTTGCCTAGTATGGTTTGGATCAAGTTCAAAGTTTTGTTTGGATTTGAAATTTTGAAAACCCTGATTTCCAGCGATTAGTTTTGACCCGAAAAACCCATTTCAAAAACAAAGTACATTTTGGGGTTGAGCCTTAAAGCAAAAATGTAGAGCTTGTCGAGTTGTACAAAGTTTGTTTTTAGAGTTTTCAAAGTTGTTATGAAAAATTTGAAGCAATTTGAAAATGCGTAATTCTTTAAATGTTCCCTATTTGAATTCAAATTTGCATTTCAAAATGTAGACCGAATTAGGAGGTGGTTATAAAAACAAAGTTGTAGAACTTTAGATTTTGAGCAACTTTTATTTTTGGAGATTTTTGAGTTGTTATACAAATTTAGGAGTAATTTGGAAATTTAGACGAATGGCAATTCTATAATTACGTTGAACAGTGCTCGCCGCTTAAGCTACATTGTCGACGACCTTCTCCTGGCTTCCAGTCATGCCTGTGGCCACCCTCGGCTTTGCGCTGGCACGGGAATGGCCCCTATGTGGCTTCTGCTTGCTTCTGAGCCGAGTTATAAGACCTGCGTCGTCATCGTTCTTCGCCGTTTGCCTTCCTCTGTTTTCCCGACGTCGCCGCCGCTGCTCCGTCGAGCTCGTCTCGCCTCCTCAACGCAAACCAGCCTCGGCTAAGCTTGCCACAGCTTCGCTAGTTCCTTGCGAAATTAGTCCTCCAGCCCTTGCTGCTTGATTGCACCGGGAACCGCTGTTCTTTGCCTTTCTTCCCCACGGCCGGCAACCTCACCGTGGTGTGCGCGTCGTCGTGGCTGGAGCTCCACGGTGGGTCTTTGTCCTTGCTCAGCGTGTCACCAGTTTCGCCTTGATCCCGTGTTGCTCTATGACCAGTTATTTAATCCTTTTGACCATCGCAGTCGCCTGAACGTC